GCCCTGCACAAAAAATGACTTTGCACTCAAAGATTTATGAAATGTGCATGTTGACCTATTTTTTCCCTCGCCGTCACATATAAGTTAGTAAATCAGAATCATTCTGAACCAACAGTCTTGTGCAGTCATACAATTTGCGTACTCGCTGCATACTGCCCCGTCCCCTCTCTATATAAGGACTACCTCCAGGTGAAGCAGAGGAAGTGGTGAAATGCAAGAAAAAGAAGAGTTCAGCGTTCCAAGGAGAAGCCAGAAGAGGCACAGCTTTCCAAAGCAAAGTGTTTTCACGGGAGTGACGACCATTTAATAAATGACCACATAAATAAAAACTCTAAAATTACAGGAGACACAGACTGTGAAAACAAAGGTTTGAGACGGATTAACAGATTACAAGAAAACTAGTGGAGGCCAGAACCATGTGATCTGTCAACCTCCATGATGATACTGTAAGTGGCATCAAGGAATGATAAAAGTCTTTTTTAATGAAAGAAGAGTTCAGTCATTCAGGAGGGGCTGAGATTAGATCTACAATCATACCAGACATGTCCTGCTGGGAGGAGTAGCTCCAGGACATGCTGGAGAGATTGTATCTATCTGCTAGCCTGGGAATGTCAAGGTGTTCCCCCAGATAAGCTGGAGAAGCTGGCTGGGGAGAGCCAGGTCTGGGCTGCTCTGCTTAAGCTGCTGCCCTGCGACCCAGCCCTCGATAATTGGAAGATTAAGTAGTGTAGTTTAAAGCCTATGCTTTTCTATTTAGTATGTTATTTTCTTTAAATGCATTCTATTATAATTAGGAGTGTTTGTGGCTTACTGTAGTTTGGAAAACTCTAAATCATGACTAAAAGCCAATATTAAAAAGAATTACATTTGATTTAGTTATTATTGTTATTATTATTAGCAGTATTATAGTCGGCCTATTTCTTTAAAGACCTGTCATTTATTCGTACACATGGCCAGAGAGACTTATATGAGTTCCTAAAGTACGAACAAATTCAAGTAAAATTGTTCTCGATAAATCACAGATTTGGTCATCTGTGCAGCAGCTAAGGTTTGGTCCCAAGTGAGTCATGCAACAGGACAATGAACGCAAGCACAGCAGCTAATCTGCAACAGAATGGCTGAAAAAGAAAAGAATCAAGGTGTTGCAGTAGCCCAGACAAAGTCCAGACCTCAATGTGATTGAAATGCTGTGGCAGGACCTTAAGAGAGGTATGCATAAACAAATGCCTGCAAGGGCTGCATGCAGACACAACAACCTTCATCAGGAGTACAGGAAAGCTTTTATTTTGTCCAGCAGCAAAATGCAAGGACAAGAAGGTCACAAATCACTTTAGGTTCATGATAAAACCTGCAAAACGAATGTAGAATATAATATTTACTTAATCAAATCTTGTGATTTTTTTGGAGTAGGCTGGTATTTTAAACTGAAAATGTTGAGGTGAGAGCGCTGAGATGGGCACATTATCATTTCTAAGGGAATCCTTTCACACGCTCCTCAGTCCAATCCAGCTGTTATTTTGTAAATAGGACAAAAATTAGACCACCTGTCAGAGCAGGAATTCTTCCCGCTAATTCCAAACTTTTTCTCCATTTGCAGAGCACATCGCAGCGGTGAGCGAGCAGGTTTCAACGTGTTGCATCAGGCTGAACTTCACCTGTTGAGAAAGCAGTGACACCAGAAGAAAGTAACATGCCAAACAAGAAACAAGTCGGTGTGGGTGCTGCAGGTGAAGATAGGCAGCCAAGAGAAAGGTACAGCAGCTCACCGTGAAGCCGTCTCACCTAAGAAAACAACATTTTTTTCTCCAATATAGTTCCCCCAAATCACAAAGGGGATCAAAAGCATCATGAGGTGATTAGAGAGGTAAGAAATAAGCTTTTTTTTTTTTGATTTTTCTGCACATAGCTTTGTTTTTACATGAAGTACCGTAACACAAGTCCTCAAGCAGAAGTAACCCCTTCTACACTGCCTCCCTCCAAAACTACAAGTCCCTTCACGTTCCTGCCCCACAGCATCTCTTTGACCTCCTTAATCTCTGCTCCCCCTCCTGAAATCTTCTGTCCTTGTGTGTTTTTTGTCCTCTCCTGGCTGCAGACTTCAGGGGATCTGATGCTGCAGACCTCTAAAAAAAATCCCTCAAACCCATAATAACTTAAATCATTGCTCAAAACACACATTTTCAGACATTTTTTACCCTCTAGCCATTCTGTTAGATTACATTAGGGTCAATCCAGCTTAATAAAAATGGTTGGTGGGTAATACTATAAGAGTACAGCAGTAAATGAACAGGGGAAAAAAGAAAAATAAGGAAATATTAAATCAACATAAAATCAATTTAATAAAAATAAAAAAATCCCATTGGAACAGTACGAAAAAAACATGTAAAATGCTAGAAAAGTGGACCCACGTGTATAATGAATAGTGTGCAGTGGATACAGAGTGTATCCCATGCATCCACTATAAAAATGATAGTGAAAAAACTGCAAATTCATATTTTTACGCATTACCTAATTAAATCTTACGCTAAAGAACTCAGTCCTACATTTCAGGTTATTTTTAATGAATCCTTGCAAATACAACACGTTCCCTCTCTTTGGGAAGAAACTGTCGTGGTTCCTGTCTCTAAATCTAGTCGTCCAGAAGTTCTAAACGACTTCAGGCCTGTTGCCTGAGCTGTGATAAACGTCTTTGAAAAAACCATCAGAAGTGTGATTATGGAAGAGACTGAACAACAGCTGGATCCAATGTAATTTGCATATAGGCCCAACAGAGGAGTGGAAGATTCGCTTTTGACTTAATTAAATCTGATTCTTAAACATGTAGAGAGTAAAGGGACTTTTGCATCGATTTTTCTTCTGCTTTTAATACAATACAGCCGCATATTTTAATTAAAAGACTTTTAGAACAGTTTGAAATCAGGAAAAACCTGGTGGGCTGAATTTTAAATTTTTTAACTGACAGGTCACAAAGAGTGAGAATAAATGGGATTCTGTCTGACCCAGTGTTCTCCTCACGGGTGTGTCTTATTGCCCTTATTACTCATTCTCTACACAAGCACGTGTCAGAGCAGATATGAAAACGGGGTCATTATTAAATATGCAGATGACTATGCTATTGTCAGCTTACTGAAAGAGGGTGAAACTAGCCACGGTCCACTGATTGATGACTTTGTTCAGTGGTGTGAGGAGTCTTATCTCCAATTGAACATATCTAAAACAAAAGATTTGGTTAGTGATTGTAGTAAACAACAAAACAAAACGGGCACGGAGTCACTTTTATTAGAGGTCAGAAAATAGAGCAATCATATAAATATCTTGGGACCATAATCAATGAAAAACTGAACTTGGATGAAAATTGCAAATCGGTCTGTAAACAGGGTCATCAGCATCTTTTCTGCCTCAGGAAACTTGCTCATTTCCTGATTGACCAGAAATTTGTAACTTTGTTTTAACGTTCTTTTATTGAGTCTGTTTTATCTTTTTGTTTGGTGGCATGGTTCGGTCAGACCTTTGTCACAGAAAAAAAACTCACTGAATCAGATAGTCAGATGGTCCAGTCGTATGACAGGTGAGTCACAGTCCCGTTTAGCCTCCCTGTACTCTAAATAGGTACAACAGATGGCTTTATCAATGCTTAAAAATGGTTCCCATCCTCTACGGGGTGAATTTCAGCTTCTTTCCTTAGGACGGAGGTTTCTAGTTTAAAGATGCAGGACAAAGCATTATAAAAACATAGCAAATTTACCTATGGGTATAAATAAAGTAACGTTAACCTTAACCTTTTATACCAGGTATTATAAATCTGTTAAACAAACCCAGGTGATACGATGTAGTATGATACAGTAATGTCACTTGCACACAGCAGATAGTGTGACTACACATTCTTGTTATTAGTTTCTGTAATTGTGATGCCTTTATTGTTGTGAGTATTTTTTACGGACAGGCACAAATTGCATTTTAAAGCCAAGACTGCTTCTATAAACATCGTAGCAAAAATGCACCAATTTTGATGTCTATGATGTAGAGCTACAGAAAGAACCATCTTTGCCTTATGTTGATTCTTCCTTTTTACTCGCACTTTGAAACCAGGCTCATCTTCTACATGTGATTCCTTCTGTGTTAAAACACTTTTATAACAGAGATTTTATCCCATGTTTCCTCCTGTGTATATAGAAATATGCATTTTATTAAAATTCATATACTAAAATTCTTACTTATTAAGTTTCCTCCTGTATTGTATCACCTTTTTACAGTATTTAACTGCATTTTATTTTGACCTTTAATTATTAATATAAATTGTTCAATTTATTTCAGCTCACTGTTTTATATTAGGCTATTATATTGCACTTTATTGATTTTTTTATTGGACTTTTTCCTCTTTAGTTGAGCTCTGTTGGATAATATTTAACTTTAGTCATAATTTTTTTTTAGCTTGTCTACTGGAAATAATTAAACTATTTTCTTTAATTTCCCCCCTCTGTAATACAGGAATTTACCCACTTCTGTGTTAAATAAAGAAGATTTTATTTTAAATTCATCCAGCCAGCTGAATCTTAAAACACTGTAAATAACTGCACGGGTTAAAGCGGGCTCCCGAGGCAGCTCTGAACTGAAGCTCATTTTCTACACACCTGTCTCCTATATGTTTTTATGGTAAGCCATTTCGGCGTTTTGAATAATCAAACGGCGTTTTTTTACGCCATTTCTTAA